TTTATTTGCTTGAATTTTATATTCAATGGATGTTTTTTTTAACGCTTTTTGTACATTACGCCAACACCCTCGTACTTTGTTTGACCAGTCTTTAATACTAATTGGGTCTTAATTTTTACATGTAAATTCCGGAAATGTAGCGAAATCAAATCCATGTACTACATAAAAGGGACTGTGCCCGGTACTACTGTGCGTTGCATTATTGTAAGCGATTTCAGTGAATGGTAATAAATCAGCCCATTCTCCATGGTGAAGAGGCGTTTTTTTCTTGTCCGGACGGCCATTTTAGAAGAGCGTGGGCATTGACCACGCTAGCTACAGCGCCGCAGGGTTTCTTCAATCCCACGGTGAAGTGGCAGCTGCAGGGATTCGGCAGCTGCCTTCTTTGAAGATTTTTGCCTGTTTTTTCTCTGCCTTTGCAGAGCAACGTAAGCCAGGGAGAGTTAATAGCTCTCCCTGGGGAAGAAGGAGGTTGCCATTTTGAAGACTCCTCGTGGCCAGTGGCCATTTTAAATCTCCTGTTGGCCATTTTCCAGAGGTGGCCATTTTGAATACTTCTTCCCACCATTCCTGCGCCTTTGGTCACCACCAGTTGCTTCTGGAGCGGCGGATGACATCGAAGGGTAGGCACTATAACATTTAAATTTCCCGGTTGGGGATTGGTTTCCCTATCCCAAAGTAGACCAGGTTCCTTGTGCTTCCAGCAGGGTCTGCTCTATTAATATTGCCCTAATAGGCCCAGGAGGGTTCGAGTCCCAGTAGGAAGTAAAATCTTTCTACTGAAGTACTTTTGGGCAGAAGAAAGTGGTGGGTGGTGTGGGGATAGTGAAGATTTCCCCTGAAGATAATTTCATAAATCCCTTCGTGTTCTCTCCTCCTGGCACAGGACAGACTTGGCCTTACTGCTACATGATGGCTGAAGCCCCAAGGGAAACCAGAACTTCTAAAATGGCCAAGCCTCCTTTAGTAGAAGCAGCCTCCTGCTGCTTCTACTAAAGGGAAGCAGCCTGTAAAGAAGGCCTCAAAGGTGGAGGAGAAAGATGCTTCCAGGCGCCATCAAGCCATCGAGAAGCAAATAGCCAAGGTGCGTCAGCCCTCTTCTCGTGTAACATCTGCACGCCCTTCCTCTCCGGTTGCATTCAGTGAAGTGGATTTGGAGGAGCCTGGACCTTCTTCGAGACCTGGTTTCCAAACTTGGTCCCCTGATGTGTCCAGAAGAGGTGCATCTCCAATTCCTTCTGAAGGCGACAGTCAAGCTGAGGATCTTCAGGGAGATTCGGCACCTTGGCAGCAGCGTGGGCGCAGTAGACGGGGGGTGGAACCCCCCTTCCCTTCTACTGCATCTGCAGCCAGGCCTATTGACCCTTCTGATTATGATGTCCCAATGAATCTTCAACTCCTGATAGACAAAGCAATCAGGAAGTGCATCTCAGAAGGTTTGCTGAGAGCGACCCGGCATTCGTCGGCTGCCGTCTGATTTGTCAGAGAGGAGATCCCGGGTTCGTGAGGCTCTCTTGTCAGAACGAGGTTCCTTCATCCAGGATCCAGTTTCTGGGTTGGCTGAAGACTTCGCTCCTGCTGCCTCAGTGGCTCCATCATTGGTGGGGGAACCTGATCGGCCATAATCTGATATGTCAGCGGATGAAGGCCCTTCACAGGAGGTTCCAGTGTTTACTGGTTGTTTTAAACACACTGTTTAGTCCCTTGTTGTTCAAGGCTAGAAACACTGCAAATTTGAAAAATTCAGATGATGAAGCATTGACCACACTTCCTCCTGAGGAGTCAGATGTCTTGTTCGACGAACCTGAAGTCAGGAAAGAGGTGGTTCCATCACCAAAGCTGTTCTGAAGGTAATTAAGAAACAGCTTGAAGCCCCTGCCACAGGGCCCAATCCTCTGGCTTCTGATTGCAGATTCTTCAACGTGGGGCCTGAACTTACCAAGACTCTTCAGGTCCCCACAGTTGATGCTCCGGTGGCAGCTTTGGCCTCCTCATCCTCTGCTCCTTCAGACCCAGATGAAGTCCTTAAGGCTGAGGAAAAGTGTGTGGAACGGTCACTTCACCGATCCCATTTAGCCGCTGCCTGGGCCGTCAAAGCTTCTACAGCGGCTTCATTCTTTACGCGAACTTCAATCAAGTGGGTGAAGCAGCTGTGGGATAGGATCCCCTCTTCAGATGTCCGTGCCCACCAGGACATCAACAAGATAATGGCGGCTACTGAATTCACGGCAGATGTCATCCTGCATAGCACCAGATTTGCCACGAAAGCCATTGCTTCCTCGGTTGCAGCCAGGTGCATGTGTTGGCTGCGCAACTGGCAAGCTGATGGCAGACGTAAATGGAAATTGGCGTCTGCTCCGGTCCAAGGGGAGAAGCTCTTCGGGGAGGTCCTTGAGCCCCTTCTTATTGAGACCAAGGACAAACGCAAGATTCTTCTTCACTCCTTAAAAGGGTGGAACATCGAGCCTCTCCTTATTTCAAGTGCTCTCAGTTCAGAGGAGAGCCAACTTCCAGTTTTCACCGGCCGTCGAAACCTGCCTATCAACATCAAGAACCAGTTTTCCTCCAAACGGCCCTTTCGAGGAGGAGGAAGTCACCCGTACCATACCGTCGCCAGCGCTAGTCCTCAGTCCATTCCCATTGGTGGCCGTTTAGCTTTGTTTGCGGACCAATGGGAGGGTATTACTTCAGACGCCTGGGTTCTGTCCACTATAAGATCGGGTCTTTCACTGGAATTCTACTCCACTCCGCTGAGGTTCTTTATCTCCTGCTCAGTATCTAGAGATGCTGGGAGGTGGAGTCTGATGGAGTTGGCCATCCAGCATTTGCTGGACTTCAGGGCCATTCAAGAGGTCCCTCCTGACCAACAGGGGATGGGATTCTACTGTAGAATTTTTGTTATTCCCAAGGCCTCGGGGGGGAGGGGGACAATTCTTGATTTGAAACGACTCAATAAATTTGTTGTGTACAGGTGTTTTAAGATGCACACTCTTTTTTCCATTTTGGAGAGCATTCGGCAGGGGGACTTCCTCACATCAATAGACTTGATGGAAGCCTATTTACATGTTCCTATTTGTTCCTCCCACAGGAGATTTCTTAGGTTTTGTTATGAGGGGTGTCATTTCCAATATAGGGCTCTCTCCTTTGGGTTGTCTTCTGCCCCTAGGGTTTTTACCAAAATTCTGGCTCCCTTAGCAGCTCACCTTCGTACCCTCCTGTGCATTTACAATGTTATTTAGACGACATATTAATCATGTTTTCTTCCTTTCAGAGGGCTCAGCAGGATCTGCAAGTCACAATTTCAATTCTGCAGGAACTGGGGTTTTCTATTAATAGGAAAAAGAGCCACTTCCTTCCAACTAATCGGCTCCTTCATTTGGGAGCCATCATTGACACTGTTGTATGTCGGGTGTTTCTCTCCTAGGAGAGACTGGTCAGCCTCCAAGGGATGATTAGGGGCATTCAGGGCAAGAGTTCTGTCCCTTTAGGCCTTCTTTCTAAACTGTTGGGTAAGATGATATCCTGTACTGGTATTGTTCCCTGGGCGAGGCTTCATGTGAGTCCCTTGCAGTGGTTCTTGCTTCCTTTCCAGAAAGCGGGGCCCAGCCATTCCCCCAGGAAGGTAAAGTTGTCTAAGCAGGTGTTACTTTCCTTCCACTGGTGGCTTTCCGGGGCTATGTCCAACAGGCAGTCTTTCAAACTTGAATCCTGCTTGGTCCTTACTACTGATGCTTCCTTGTCTGGTTGGGGTGCCCATTTGGGTTCCCTCTGGGCTCAAGGGTTGTGATCTCCACAGGAACAGGCTCATAGCATCAATTGGTTAGAGCTTAGAGCGGTTCATTTGGCTCTGAAAAAATTTCTCTACCAGGTGTCAGGATCTAACATCCTGGCTATGACTGACAATGTGGCCACCAAAGCCCATATTAATGAATAAGGAGGTACCAGGTCCCTTTCTCTCATGACTGAGGCTGAGTCCCTGGTCAGGTGGGTGGAACGTCAACTTCTGTCACTTTGGGCCAAGCATATTTCTGGATCGGATAACATACAGGCAGATTTGCTCAGCAGGACGACCATTGACCATTCTGAATGGCAATTGCATCTTTCCTTATTTCAGCAAATTTCCTGGAGATTTGAATTGCCAGTAATGGATTTAATTTCCTCTTCCCTTAATGCACATCTGCCCAGGTATTATACTAGGTATTTCTCCCAGGGAGCTGAAGGCAGTAACGCCTTACGTTGCAACTGGCCTTCTGGATTGCTCTACGCTTTTCCGCCTTTGCCACTGATCCCTGCGGTGATTCAAAAGCTCTTGTTGGAGCGGGCCAAGATCATTTTGGTGGCTCCCTATTGGCCTCACCGGCATTGCTTTGCTGATTTGATGGGCCTTTCATTGATCCCCCCCTTGGCAGATTCATGAAGAGGATGTCTCTCTTCTCCAGGGGTCCCCCTCTCATCCGGAGCCCCAGTGGCTACAACTGGCAGTTTGGCGATTGAGTGGGGCATCTTAAAAAATGCCCAACTTTCCAACAAGGTTATCTAAACCATTCAGGCCTCCCTTCTACAATTCGCATTTATGAAGCTACTTGGCAATCCTTCTCAGCTTGGTATGTGTCAAGTCCAACATCTCACCTCTACAAGCTTTGGTGGCTGCAGTCTTGGAATTTTTACAGGCTGGCCTGGATAAGGGTCTTTCCCACAACACACTCCGCAGGCAGGTTTCAGCAATCTCGTCGGTCTTGTCTTGTGGGGAGCTGGAATCTTTGGCTCAGCACCCTACGATTCATAGGTTACTCAGAGGAGCTACCAACCTTTGCCCTCCTATGGTACATAGGTACCCCACTTGGGATCTGTCCAAGGTTTTGCAGTCCCTCACAAAACCTCCGTTTGAGCCTCTTCCACAATCCAGTCTTCATCTCCTTACTCAAAAGGTTGTTTTCCTAGTGGCAATCACTTCAGCAAGGAGGGTCTCGGAATTGGTTGCACTCTCGGTCCGCCCGGACCTCTGCATTTTCCATCCTCATCGGGTGGTTTTAAGATTGGACCCGGCCTTCATTTCGAAGGTCAACTCGTCTTTCCACAGATCTCAGGAGCTGGTGCTTCCGGATTTCTGTCCTCATCCGGGAAGACCTGGCACACTCAGGACGTGCACAGAGCTTTAAAAATTTACATTAAACGTACTGCTACTTTCCTCAGGATGGAGTCTTTGTTTTGTTCTTTCCAACCTTCCTCGTTGGGGGGTAAAGTTTCTCCATCTACATTGAGTAGATGGATCAAGGCATGCATAGCTTGAGCCTTATTCCAGCAGGTCCTTACCAGTTCCCAGGGGGCATCACAGCCCATTCCACCCGTAGTGCAGCTACGACAGTGGCATGGGCTACACAGGCGTCGGTGGAAGAGATCGGCAGGGCTGCTACCTGGACTTCACCTTCGCCTTTCATCCGTCACTATCGCCTGGACTCCTTTGCGTCAGTGGATGCGGCATTTGGTAGACGGGTCCTCCAACGAGTCATTTCGGACCGTGCCAGCCAGGACCAGTCTTAACCCTCACAAGGACACCCCTGCTTTGGTATGTCCCATCCTGATCTGTCGCAGCCTTACAAGGGAAAATGGGCATTGCTTACCTGAACGCCATTTTTCCTTGTAGGCAAGACAGGTCAGCCCCACCCTGGGGTTGGTTCCTTCCTGGGACCATGCGGGGGGGGGGGGTCCTGCTAATTTTCTTGTTTTCTTTTTCCTTTCTTAGAGGCAATCCGGTCTGTCGCACTGACTTTGCAGAGCTGAGGAGGAGTCACCCAGAGTGGGCGGAGCTAGGCTAATAAGCCTTTTGCATAGACTCAGTCCTAAGCAGATAAGGAAGAGTATCACCCATCCTGACCTGTCTTGCCTACAAGGAAAAGTGGCGTTCAGGTAAACAACGCCCAGTCACATTATGACCCACTTAATGACTGGCATGAGATATGACCATAAGTCAGGAGTATGCAGTCATAAGTCAAGGACTTTATGTAGCTGTGTCAGAATCACCCTAGAAATGTGGCAGAGCATAAAACAAGTTAATGAAGCAATTTGCCATGGAGCAATGGGTTGCAGTTCCTGCACAGCAATGTTAACACCAGTAACTGGAATGTTTGGCTGCAAATGATGGCATTACTTTTTTATACTGGTACATTATTACTTTTTCATATAACTAACTATATTATTCCAACTAGAGACAGAAAGGTTTGAGACACTTGTGAGCCTGAGTGGTTGAGGCTGACTTGTAAAAGCACTTCTCCATTTCCCTCAAGTAAGCCAGTTGTTTGTAACTACCAAGTCCTGAGAAACTAAGTGTGCTCTCTTCTGTTAAGGGTTTGCTGCTAGTCAGATAGTTTATAAAATCATGTTATGAATGTACCAAATGAACCAGAACCAGCATAAAATGGTTCTGATCCTGCAATGAATTGTAGTGTGTGCATGTTTCTTGAACTTTATGAAGATACTTTGCCACAGTATAATTGACAAGGCTAGAAAAATGGTGTTAGGGTGTCTTCTTATTGGATTTGTTTTTTTTTTACCAGCAATGTACTGCTAAAGGACCTAAAATATGAATTAAAATCCATTTTCAAGTGAATTAAAAGTGAAATAAAAGTTCTTGATGGTCTAACGAGGAATTTAAACGTTGCAGTTTATTCAATTTTATATTGGGGCTATAGAGACTTTTTATTGAGTGATAGCTGTAATACACTAATCATTTTAAAAGTATTTCAAGCTAGAACTTTAAATTGTTTCTGGTAAACTCAAGAATTTTACACTTTCAGAAAAGGAGTGTGGTTGAGATGACTTTAAGTGCTTACATAGAAATGTTGCCATACTGCTTCCTTAGTATGGCTGAAAGAATGGGTGAATCTAATAAAAGAATATTAGTTTCAGAAGGCCATGATTTACAGAGGGGGTGGCACACTTTCCTATGGGATATGGGGAAAACCAAACAAAAATATTTTCATAGACATTTAATTAGAGACACTCTATTGGCCAATTGGAATAAAATAAAAAACATTAGTTAAAGATCCCTATCTGGTTCTCAACAATGGAGGCGATGATTCACCCGAACAACTTGGATATTAATAAGATGTTAAGGTCTAAAGATTTATTGGAAATCTGAAATTATGGCAAGTCCTTCAGGAACAAGGGTTACGAATTGACCGGTGGGCATATATCTCCAAGTCCAAAATAGATAAAGACAGGACATGAAAGAGTTCGGAATCTATAATAAACCACAGCAATTAGATAAAATTCTATCAGGCCCAGATTAAAAAAAAAAATAACAAAATTTTGTAACTATTAGAGATAGAATTAGAGGAAGAAATAGTTAAAGGTAATAAGATAGCTTGGAGTAGGAATATAGGCCGTATCATTACTTTATCAGAATGGGAGAAGATCTGGAACAGAAACAATAAAATCACAAAATCAGCATCATATAAAGAAAATGCTTACAAAATGTTTTATAGATGGCACCTACCCCCTTCGAGAGTAGCGAAGATGTTTCCCAACATGAGTCCTAAATGCTGAAAGTGTAAAAAGAAGGAACATTCTACCACATGTGGTGGTCGTGTACAGAAACCCAAAGATATTGGCTGAGAATAAAAAAATGGATGGAGGAAATTACGACTGAGCAGATTGAATTTAAACCAGAATTCTTCCTATTCGGGATTCTCAACAGACAATTCCCCCAAAAAGTTAAATATATAATACTACATATATTGACGGCAGGTAGATTGGCTTTCGCACAATGCTGGAAACAACCCTATACTCCACCAGAGGAAATGATTATTCAGAAAACATCAAGCTGCACAGAAATGGATAAACTAACTCTAGCACTAAATAATAAAGAACTATCAGAGTACTATATGAGTTGGAACTGTTGGTATGAGTGGATAGACCCGAAGATAGTCCATATAATAATAATGTTAATAAATTGTAAATGAGGAGGAGTGACAATAGCAGTAATTAGATATTCACACTAAAGATTAATTACAAATATGCTACAAAATAATGAGATAAATAAGAAACCACAAACTGTTGATGATGTAATCGTTTTTAATTGTTTACCCTTTTTTCTTTGTTTTTCTTTCCTTTTTCAATCTGTGTGTGTGTTGTTTGTATATCTTAACTGTAAAATTCAATAAAGTTTATTTAAAAAAAAAAAAGAAATTTTGCCATACTGCAGTCATGTATTCCTCAATCAAGCCACTATTTGAAGGGGTCTTTTACATTGGGCTTGCTTTGTAAAATAAAAGTTGTGTATTTAATATGAGTCACTGAGAAGCTCTATCTGTATAGTTGTTAGGAGTCAAAAATAAGTGTTTTAATTTGAAGTGTACTTTATAATTTTTGGGCCTAATTCTGCATTTTTCTTCCAGTCTGAAAGGCACTTTATCATGCAAGTAGTCTGTGAAGCGACACAGTGTCCTGATACTAGGGTAAGCCCAAAACTCTTTTCCAGCAATCTGTAGGTCGTGGTGTATGGAAAGTATAAGGCTGTTTATAAAAAAAATGACAAGCTTTTAACTGATTTTTTTACCAATATTTTACACCATGCTATCAATAGATTACTTCATGGAAAGAAAAACAAAATTAGATATCTGTCCCAAAAGAGATTAAAATACAACATAAGAAAAATATTGCAGGGAATGGCACAGGTTACAGGTATAAAAGTGAGGAGATTCATTTTGCATTTTTAGCTTGGTTTCAGAGTGACAAATGATTAATTATATAATTACAAAATTACATAGAGCACAAGGGTTTTGTGGAGGTCAGGGGTGGGATGCTACCGGTTCTGCCCAGCTCTATAGAACCGGTAGCTCTGAAGAGCAGCAGACACTGAACCGGTTCTGTGTTTGCTGCTGTTTGGCCTACCCGCCCACCCGTGTTCTTACCTGTCCTTTTATTTCCTGCTTTTTCAACCTCGGCTGCTTTGCGCGGCACAGCTGAGGTTGAAAAAGCAGGAAAAAAGTGGCTTTTCAAACGCTGCGCACCTGCACACAGCTCTTTTCAGCTGTCTGGGTGGCACAGCTTAAAGGTTTTTTACAAAGCACGCATGTGTGCGTAAAACGTCACTGAACCGGTAGTAACACCGGTCGAATCCCACCCCTTTGGTAGAATGAAAAGGATTGGCATGATCAGGAAGGAGTGAAACAAGAAAGATATTGGCCATAACAGCTGCTTTTTATAGGTAATAGTGGATAGGTCTCCTGTTGCTATAATGTCAGAAATAGTATAGGAGGGTTATTTTTTTGATATTTGATGAGTTCAATGCTTTAGACTTCTATTATCTTTTTAACGTTAGAATTAGGAACAAATCCTTAAAATATTTTGTCAAAGTAATTTGAATGCGGTTTATTTTATGTGGTAGATAAGCCATTGATGTTTTCTTGTTTGCCTACTGTGCTGTTGTTCCTTTGCTCTTATATTTAGGTGCGAGTAGCTGCCTTACAGAACTTGGTGAAGATTATGTCCATTTATTATCAGTACATGGAAACTTATATGGGTCCTGCACTTTTTGCTGTGAGTAATCACAAGTGGGATTTGAAATTGGATAATTATGTGCTTTAAATTAGTGTAAATGTTGGTGGAGCAGAAAACAATGGTTTAACACTGCTTTTGTTTTTCTAAAGATCACAATTGAAGCCATGAAAAGTGATATTGATGAAGTGGCTCTGCAAGGTATAGAGTTCTGGTCAAGTGTCTGTGATGAAGAAATGGACCTGGCTATAGAAGCTTCAGAAGTGAGTTAAAGAATTGCCAATACTACATTTTCTGAATCCACTAATTATGGCAGTTCAGGCTTATGGCAATCTTTATGATGAGGCATGCACCATGCTGACTAAAGTGATGCATAAATCTATAACTCAAGGTTACTAACTATGATAATTTTTTGCACTGTACATTTGAAGGATCCTAGGTAGATTTTCACGTATATAAGTATTGTAAAGGTAAAGGCGTGCTAGTTGTTTCTGGCTCTAGGGGGCAGTGCTTATCTCAGTTTCTAAGCTGAAGAGCCAGCGCTGTCCGAAGACGTCTCTGTGGTCATGTGGTCGGCATGACTAAGTGCCAAAGGCACACCGAGCACTGTTACCTTCGCACCAAAGTGGTTCCTATTTTTCTACTTGCATTTTTACGTGCTTTTGAACTGCTAGGTTGGCAGAAGCTGGGACAAGTAACGGGAGCTCACTCAGTTACACGGCGCTAGAGATTCGAACCGCTGAACTGCCGACCTTCTGATTGACAAGCTCAGCGTCTTAGCCGCTGAGCCACCACGTCCCCTATAAGTATTGTAATAGTACCCTATTTCTGCTGCATTTAACTTTTGTTTCTTCTGATGTGCTCAACAGCTACTTTCATGTTTTTTGACAAACACTCCTTGCAACAGTCCGCATATTATCCGCTCTCTACCAGCATTTTCAGATCTTAAAAATTCTCAATCCATTTCCTAGATAGACTAATTTTCAAATCTGTACTCCATGTAGGGTTCAGTAAATATCATTTAGGTTTCAAGCTAGCAGAATAGCACTGCCTGCTTATAAATGTGCATGCTCGTATTCTCCCCAACCACACATTTTTAATATTGTAGATATTCCTTTTATATGTGTTCATAAATACATTGAGCAATTAAGGGACGTTACACATTCTCGTCTTACTCCCTAAGTTTGAGCTATTCACTAAGCATAACATATATTCTCATGTATGTTTTATTTCAATCATGTAGCTTGCTTACTGCATTTAACAACTGACTTTCAACTTCATTTTCATGCAAAATATTCATGATTCAAGCCTGCTTACTTTATCATATATAATTCCATTCTTCAGCATATTGCTATAACTCCTAAATAAATCTGTAACTTACAACTAGCATTCCCAAATGTATAACATGGAAACTGGATGGGGCACAATGGGCTCCAGTTCAGTCCAAGCAGGACAGAGTGGCTTTGGTTATTTAGTCTGCCTGGGAACAAGGTTCTTCTATCTTTGGTACTGGATAGGGAAGCACTGTCCATCTGAGTGTCCTTTTGGACTTGCAGCTCCTGCTTGAAGAGCAGGTGGCAACTGTGGCTAGGAGGACCTTTGCACACCTTTGGACTATGCGCCAGTTGTGCCCATTTCTGGACCAAGGAACTTTGCTTACAGTCAGTCACGCCCTCATTACATCTCATTTGGTTACTGCAGTGCACATGGGGCTGCCATTGAAGACCATTTTGAAACTTCACCTGGTGCAAAATTTGACTGCACAGGTAGCTGATGGTGCCAGTTATATGACACAAGTAACACCACTAGTACAGGAGCTGCACTGGTTGCTGGTGTGTTTCTGGGTGCAATTCAATGTATTGGTTGTCACCTTTAAAGCCCTACATGGCTTGGGATCCAGTTACCTAAGGGACAATCTTCTCCCAATAGTTTCTATGTGTCCAATTTGGTCTAGTAGATTGGGGATGCTATGGGTTCCATCAGCCAAGGAATGTCAGCTGGGAGGTGTGCCTTTTCTGCAGTAGCCCGTTCCCTTTGGAACATTCTTTGGAGCTCAGGATGGTCTCGACCCTGTTAGCTTTTCATAAGGCTTTAAAGACATGGCTATGTGCCTGAACCTGGGGTCTTAAAAGTGTTAGGGTCTCCGTTACCTGGTTGAACTGTTAATTTTTATGGAATTATTCTAATAATTTTTGTTGTCTATATATATATAATTTGTAACTCTCTTTGTGTTTTTATGGTTCTAATCATTGTGATATTGTTTGCCACCCCGACTCAATTGGATTGAGATGAAGAGCTATAGAAATTGAATAAAGGAATAAAATGAACATACTTCATTCCTTCACTTTAGTTTTAACCCAAACCTTTTCACCTCAACTACAACCTCTTTCATAATTCCATCATTCTTCTTAGTACTTCCTAATTAACATAACTTTATAAATGGGAACCATTTCTACTTTTCCTATATTTCCTTAACACTGTCATGTAATGGTCTGTCCCACATTCAGAACTTGTACCATCATTATATTATTCTCTAATTTTCTAAATCAAATGGAGTAAGGTTATAAATACTTCAAGCCTTTTGACTTGAAGGGTTGAATCTTTCGTTAGGGATCAAATAGAGATAACAGAAAATAATAGTTTGTGAAACTTTATTTAGTTAACCAATTTATTGGCCACGCATCTTACCACAGGATAACTGGGTGGCTTACAACATTAAAAAATAAAACTATATAAATAAAATACTAAAGTATAAAAATACAAAATACAATAGCTAAATAATAGGGAGGGAGGGGGTAGGATAAGCGGGGGGTGGGGGGGAGGTAGGATCTGATATTAATCACCCCCAATATGAAGCCCCTCCTTTGGAGTCCCAAGCCAGCTAGCAAAGCCAGGTCTTTAGGCTCTTGCAGAAGGTCAGGAGGGTTGGAGCGGACCTTAGTCCTGGGGAGGTAAGAGGGCAGGTGCTACGGCAGAAAATGCCCTTCTAGACCCTGCCAGCTGGAATACCCTGGCTGATGGGGCCCGCAGCATGCCGCCTCTGCTGGCACAGGTCAGGTGGGCCATTCCCAGTGGGATGAGATGGTCCATTAAGTAACCTGGACCCATGCCATGAAGGGCTTTAAATGTGATTACCAACACCTTGAATTGCACTGGGAAGCAAACGGGTAGCCAGTGCAGCTAATGGAGCAGCGGTATTGTATGGGCCACCCTTGGGGCTGAAAAACTGTCCATGCCACCACACTACACCAGCTGTAGCTTCTGAATGCTGTTCAAGGACAGCTCTATGTAGAGCATGTTGCAATAGTCCAACCGTGAGATGACTAGGGCTTGAATGACTGAGTGCAGGGACAACTGATCCAGGACAGGCTGCAACTGGTGTATAACCCGAAATTGTACAAAGGCTCTCCTAGCTGCGACTGCCACCTGCTCTTTTAGCAGGACTCACAAGTCCAGGAGAACCCCAAGTTGCAGACTGAATCCGTCTGGTATAATGCCACCCCATCCAGGACTAAACCTGCTGTTCCCCATCCAGACCCCCACAGCCTCTAGGCACAATGAGAGGGCAGCCACAACATCACTTGGATCACCAGGGGTGGAGATTTAAAGCTGAGTGTCACCAGCATACTGCAGATACCTCAACCCATGGTGATGGATGATCTCACCTAGAGGCTTCATGTAGATGTTAAAAAGGAGTGGAGAGAGTACCAAGCCCTGTGGTACATGACAAGATAACAGCTTGGGTCTTTCATTCCCTATTAACACTGATTGGGATGAGCCTTGGAGAAAGGAGCCCCAAACCCAAGGCAAACCTATGCTGCCCATCCCCATCCCCTGGTGATGGCCCAAAAGGATACCATGGTTGATGGTATTGAAGGCTGCTGAGAGGCCAAGGAGCACAAGGATGGTTGCACTACCCCCCCCCCCCCAATCCTGCTCTCGCCAAAGATAATCAAGCACGACCAATGCTGTTTCCATCCCATAACTGGACCTGAATCTTGACTGGAAGGGGGGTCCAGGTAACTCATTTCATCCAGGACCCTCTGAAGCTACCAGGCAACCACCTTTTCCACCCACTTCCCTCGGAAGAAAAGATTGAAAATGACCAAAATTGTTCAGGCAGGTGGGATCAAGTTATGGTTTTTTCAAGGAGGGGGCAAACCAGGGCCTCCTTAAAAGCCCCTGGAAATGTCCCCTCCTGTAGTCCCCCTCACTGGCCAGTCGGGGAGGCCCACTCATGAAAAACCCTCCACCCAGCTCTTACTCTGGGTGGGGGGCTACAAGCAACTACACAGGCACACTAGCCACTCCAGGCTCTCACTCTAGGAGCGGATTCCCACATACTTTCAGCCCTCATTCTTGCTCTTGTGTGACCCAGTGTCCCCGAGTCTTTCCAATACCCCTCACAAGGGCCCCTGGGCGATGGACACGACTTCTTTGATTCTGCCATAGGACATCTCTTGGTGACTCCAGGGCCAGCTGCCATCTTAAACTTGATGTCTGTCGCCTCAATCCCACATCCAACTTGGCCCTCCCAACTTGCTTGCCACCACCATTGTCCTGGTGGTCCAGCCAGGGCTCCAACCTTTATGAAGGTGTCACAGTCGAGCCACCAAGCAGCTGCACTTCAGTGCCAACCCATTGGGCTGGGTGCAGCGGCCACAGCCCCTGTCCAACGTCCACCATACTGAGTGGTTGCGGTCCAAACTGCCGCCATTTGCTCTGCCCAGAAGGGTACATGCGGAGGTTCAGGGATGGCTCCAAAGAGCTGCTGCCACCGAATTACTACCAAACCACTGGACCTAAATACCACCAAATAGCTGGGCCAGATGCTGAAGCTGCTGTTCTTAATCGGCTCTCACCACGACCTGGCAGCCACACTTGAAGTTGTTTCCCCAGCAAGCAAGGCTTGGGTAAAAGTTTGGAGAGCCCTGGCTGCAAGCTCATGGGGTGTCTCCGCATATCTCTAGGGCAGTCACTGCTCCAGCCTTGGTCCCAGCGCTTGTCTCTGCTGCCCCACTCTTACCATCATTGCTGTCAGAGTCCTCACTGCAAATGAGCCAGCCAACAGCTGATTCTTTGAGCAGCTGATCAGCTGACCCGAATGCAGCAGCTGGCAGCATCAGTTTCTAGTTAAAATTGACTAGCGCTGAGCAGCTGCACTTTAAGTTGCTGCCGCTTGGTTTTGTTTTTTGTTTTTTAGTATATATATATATTTTATTCATAAACATTTTTAATACAGTGTATTGTCAGGGCATATCAT